GGCTGTGCAAGGCATAATCAGGGCATATCAGGTGAGTGTATTCCTATTTTTTTGCATTTCTTATTCTAGCTATGAGGATTTATTTTACACAGACAGTAAATATGTGCATTAACACGCACATGCACACGCTTACTCACACGCACACTCACACGCACACGCACACTCACACTCACACTCACACGCACACTCTCCACTGTCATGCACACTCTCACTCTCACTCTCACTCTCACTCCCACATTCGCACTCACACTTACACTCACACTCACTCACACTCACACTCACACTCACACTCTCACACACTACACTCACACTCACACTCACACTCACACTCTCACTCTCACACTCACACTCACTCACACTCACACTCACTCACACACACTCACTCACACACTCACTCATTCACACTCACTCTCACTCTCACTCACACACTCACACTCACACTCACACTCACTCTCTCACTCTCATTCACTCTCACTCTCTCACTTACTCACCCTCACTCACTCACTCACCCAATGAACACTTCTATTAGTTTTAGGATCTCTTCTATCTTTCTCAGGTGTAAATTGATAGGTTTCAATTCCCTCGTTTTTCCTGAATATTTTACATCTGTTAAAAGTGACTAATATAGTTGGCTTCTGCTCTACTCCTCTCTGCTGCTTCTCGCACTTAATACGTTTCTCGCTTCTGTTCTTCTCTTCTGCCTTTTCTTCTCGAGCTTACTCTCTCTCTCTACGTGACTCTCTCCTCTCTCTCTCTTACGTCATACTCTTCTTCTTTCTCTCTCTCTCAGCAGTAATCTATAAATACTATATTCTGTTTCTATATTCTTTTATCATATCTATCTCGATGTACTCGTCTTCCATTCTCTCTCTCTCATTCTCTACTTTCTCATTCGTTCTGCTCTGTGTGTTCTTCTGCTTTGTTGGTGTTGGTATTGGTAGGGCCCAGATTGCTATGCATGAAGTAGGCCACTGCTACGTTGTGATGGCGTAGGCTATATCAGGCTATTATGGTAGGATATATTTCCTTTTACTTTCTTTTCTTTCTTTCTTCTCCGCTCATTGATATCATGTTATCACATTTTCTATTTGGTTTTGAGTTTGGTATTTGCCTTAATATATTCTGCTATTCAGAAACAGTGATGAATCCTTCCTGTTTCCTTTTTATATCTATTTTTTATACATCAAGGAAGGCAGGATATTTTGGATATTTGCTATGTTTGTTTAGTTGGTCAGTTCTTAGTTGTACTCTCGATATTATGAAACCCTAGGAAAAAGAGTACTGATAAAACATTCTTAAGATAATATGAAGATGTTGTGTTGCTTCTTGCAATGTGTTGTGTGTCTTTTATAGGAGTGGTAGGGTTTGAAGAATCTGTTTTTTTGCTTCGATATGTGTGAGTGTTGAGCCTAACGAGTTAGTAGACCGTGGTGATGAGTTGTCTTTACTGGGTGTTTGGTTGGATGATTCCATGGCAGGTCAAATGGCTCTTGTGTGGGTTGTGCTTGATGTGTGTGAACCTTTCGTAGATGTAACTGTAGTGCGTAGAAGTCGACGCTGAGGTTAACAGGAGGCTGACAATCGCAAAATAGTGGTATGTCATGAAGGAAGAGGAAAGCAACAGATGACCTGAGAAGAGAGAAGATGCAGGAAGAGGAATACATGGGTCTCGAGTTTCGTTTTGGAATGTATATGGGATTTTGAGAATGAGTGCAGAGAATGTGATAGAGACTGACGTGCCGTGAGTGACATCACTGTCTCGCTTTTCCGCCCTGTCGTCATCGTCATTTCGTAAACCGCCTTTTTTCTTCCCGCTTTCCGGCTCCCGAGTTCCATTTGTGTTCGGGTGGTGTGTGTGTGAGTGTGACGAGAGTAGAGAAAAAGGATGGAGTGGAAGTGAGTGAGTGAGTGAGTGATGTGAGTGAGTGATGGTGAGGAGTTGATGTAAGCGATCGAGAACGGGCACGGGTGGGCGGAGAAGGTGGGGAAGCGCAGACACGAGACGCGATGATGGCGTTATGATGTAGTCACAGATTATGATCGAGAGATGAATTTTGGCATGAGAGTGCCCTAGGTTTCTAGGTTTTGGGTATTCCATTCCATTGCCTTAGTTCACTCACGACAGTTTGGATAAGAGACAAAAGGTCTGAATTGTTCTATTCTCGGTAAATATTTAGTGTCAGGATTAAGAAAGCGGTGTAGGACAATAATGCTGGGAATATAAGGCTGATCCGGTTAAGATAGTACTTTATTTTTCGACTTTTTTTGGATGTTTTTTAATGTATTGATCGCCGGTTTTTTGTGATTTTGTATAATATATATATTGTGTGCATGGCCTTGGGTATTGCAGTTTTTAATAATGTTTCATCTCTTTACATAATACGAATGTTTTTTTTCTGCTACACGGTGTTTAACCGTTAAGGTAAATTGCATTGACGTTTCCTCCCACTATTGTCTTTTTTGTGGGAGATAAGAGATTTTTAACACTTTGTATGGTGAATTTTAAATTTTCGAGACGTAGTGGAATTTTTGTAAAATGCTTCTGCCAATGTTCTTTGTTTGTGTTTAATCTCTGAAGGACTAAAGAGTGTTCAAGTTTATAAGTGCCCACAGTCAGAATGGAAGAAGGTGGACACTTGATTATTTTAAGGGTAAGGCAGATTGAAAAAATTAGTTTTCGATGGTCCTTTACTGGACGAGAGGATAACACCATTTATATATTTATCCAAGCCATATTTCATATTGTAGATTGCTCCCACAAGCAACTCTATTTATTAATAAAAAGTTATTTACATAGAGCGTGTTAAGGGCAAGAAACTTTATTTACATTTGAGGGCCTGAGACTTGAGTTCATCACCAGAGGTTTATCATATGTTCAGACCTTGGTATGACAACATTAATATAGTGTGAGACCCTGTCAAGCTTAACACGATTTGCAGGAGAGTTTTAAGATGATGTAGTTAAGAGAGAGACCGAGAGAGGATAGCGAAATGAGGACCGATCCGATAGAGAGGAAAGGCAGCCTTCCTCATATTGTTGCGAGATCCTGTGATTGAGGGATCCTTACGGTGTGTGTCCCTGGAAGAGACTGATCCCCCTTCGACTACCGAGGAGGGAAACACACCTAAGAGGAGAGGAGAAGCAGAGACATTTTAACTTAGCCATTCTACTTATCTCCTCCATGTG